GTTTGGCATGCTCGCCGTATCGACCCGAAGAGCGTCCAAAATGGCCGACACAGGCCCCAAAACTGCCCCTAAGATGACCCCAGTGGGCCCCAAGACGGCCGAGCAAGCGCCCACTGGTGCCCAAAGGGGCCCCCGAGATCGCCAGAGGGCTCCGCTGAGAAGCTCCTCCTCGGATTCCTGATCCCGCTCGTCCCCCTTGCCCGCATCAATCCTGCTCCTCCTCCTCCTCCTCCTCCTCCTCCTCCTCCTCCTCCTTCTCCTCCTCCTCCTCTCAGAGGCTATCAGAACCTCTCTCAGAATCTCTCAGAGACTCTCAGAGGCTCTCAGAGGCTCTCAGAGGCTCCAGAACCTTGCAGAGGGTCTCAGAGGCTCCCAGAGGCGCCAGAACCATGCTGAGGGTTTCAGAGGCTCCCAGAGGCGCCAGAACCATGCAGAGGGTTTCAGAGGCGCCCAGAGGCGCCAGAACCTTGCAGAGGGTCTCAGAGGCGCCCAGAGGCGCCAGAGAACCTTGCAGAGGGTCTCAGAGGCGCCCAAAGGCGCCAGAACCTTGCAGAGGGTCTCAGAGGTGCCCAGAGGCGCCAGAACCTTGAAGAGGCTCCGAACTTTTCGGAGGCTCCAAAATGGTTGGGATCTCACCCGTCCCACGTGTCCTTGACGGTTGGGATCTGAACCGTCCGGTTGGGATCTGAACCGTCCGGTTGGAATCTGGACCTTTCTCCATGCGAACCCTGCCACTGGCACCTTCGGTGGAGCTCCCCATGCGGTCACGAAACGATGTACTCGGTGGGTGAAACGCAGGGAGGGAAGAGGGGGAGGAAGGAAGGAGGGAACGCGGGGACTGCCCCTTCAAAACGAGGACCCAACACCACAGGATGGTTGGGAAAACAACCAAAAAGTGCTCAACAAATCGTCCCCTGACTATTTTTTCCTATGTTTGAATCTTCCTGCTGTAGAGGGACGGGCCCGACTTAAGGGTAGAGGAGGAAAGGGAGTGCAGAGGAACGAGGAGGGCGGGGGGGAACGAGGGGAGGAAGACGGATGGAAGGCGGGAAGCACTGGGCAGGAGTGAGGTGGTGGGCGAGGGCGAGGGCGAGGACGAGGACGAGGAGGAGGAGGAGGAGGAGGAGGAGGAGGAGGGGGAGGGGGAGGGAGAAAACAACGTGGAGGAATAACACCAGGAGCATCAGGAGGAATTCGTATGAGGAGGGGGGACGCAGAGGAGTGAGATGAGGAGATACAGGAGGAGGAGGAGGAGGAGGAGGAGGAAAAAGAGGAGGGTCTCTGGGTATCATATACGAAGCGGCGCAAACAACGTACGCAGTGCGGCACACAAGGGGAGCAACACCCGCCACCGTGCCCCGCGGTGAAACGCCAGGTGCTGTCTGGGGGTGGCTTGCTGCTCCGCCCCGGGGCCTCGCGCCAGCGCCCTGCCTCCCCGCACGCGGCGATGGCGGCGTGGTAGCCAGCGACCATGGGCTCGAGCGCCGCCTGGCCCGACCTGCAGGTTTTTTTGTAATGTATACACTTCTCGCTGTGTGCGTGTCATCCTTGCGCAGGGGCCATGCTAATCTTCTCTGTATCGTTCCAATCTTGACGGATGATCCCCGAAGGGAATCCGACCCGACCTGCAGGGTGTTTCGGGCGTGGCTTCAGGGGGGGTCTTAAATGGGGGGGTCAGAAACGGTCCCCTTTCGGGCCCCTCCGGAGCCCCATAGGGGCTCGTGTAGGTACCGTTCGGGTACCTTTCAGGCCACCCTCGCCAACCCCGCAGTCATGACCCCCCCATTACGCAACGCCCAGGTGTTGGCGGCGGCAGCTGCGCTGGGCGAAGACGACCTCCAAAACGACGACGACGACGACGGCGACGGCGAAGGCGAAGACGGCGAGGACGGCGACGACGTCAACGATAGCGGCGGCGGCGCTGGCGGCGGCAGTGGCGGCGCACTCCACCGAGGAAGAGGTTTTCAACAGCTTCCTGGCAGTCTCAAAGTTTACAGCAGGGGATTGAGGGGGAAGGGAAAGGGAGGGGGGAGGGTAAGCTAGGTGTGCTCGCGTCATATCTGACGTTCTACCCCTCCCTCGCATCCCTTAGCATGGCGTAGATCTCTTCTCCATTCGCACAATCGGATGTCGCAGCACAGCATAGCAATACATGGTATAGCATGATGGTGTTGAAGACCAACGCGTAGCATGACATAGCATGGCGTAGCGACGCCCCAAAGTGGGGGGGGGCTTCTGCGGCCCAACAAAAATCAACGAATCGACACCGAATGTGCAATCACTTCCGATGGTTTTTCGGGGTGCATTTTTTATATTTTAGGGCGTATTTGGAAGGACCGAAAACCATGCGGTGGCATGGCGCTGGTCATAATGATGCCAGCGCTGCAGCGGGAACACTATTCGGAACGAGCGGAAGCGCGGAAATGAGGCCAACGCTGCAGCCAGCGATTCGGAACGAGCGGTGGCCCGAAAATGAAGCAAGCGCCTGAGCGAGAGCAACATTTTGAAAAAAACAAAGCTAAAACCCGTTTCCGGGGAAGCCTGTGTAAAAAAACCGTACGCGAATGGGGGCTGGTCATTTCCCGGACGTCACCAGGGGAGAGGGGAGAGAAGTATTCAGATGGTGTAATGTAAAGGAGTAGAAGGAGGAGGAGGCATTGGCGCCAGAATGGCTTTCCCATCGCTCATCGTATGGGGCTGGCGTTCCCCAGTTCAACGCTAACACGAGGCGCGACAAGTACAGAGCGACCGTTAAACCTCAATCATCTGGCGCGTCAGCCAATGTCGCGGTCACATCGGCGATCTATCCACCAGCATGCTGCCTGGCATTGGTTGGCGCGCGCTGAGCTTGGAAACACTTCCCCGAGTCGCACTTCTCAGCGTCACTGTTCTCAGCGTCTCAACTAGGACCTGCGACAACAACTCCTGCCAACACCACGCCCAATAACGGCACCGATCCACAGCGCCTGGAGTCGGATGGACTACTGGGTATCCAAGCTCCGCGGGACCGTCTCTGATGCATCGACGTCCGACGCCCGACGAACACCAGACGCCATCGATCGGAATCAGCCTCGGCGTTGAGAGCAGCACTCGCCCAATGTAAGAGGCATGTGGCGTTCACTCGTAAAGGGCTTGACCGCTGGCAGTCACACGGCCTGGGATGGTCGCTGCAAAAACGGTCTCGGGGCGCTCGTCTAAGAGCAGCAGCGGACCGCCCATGTTCAACGTGATTTTGGCCAGGGGACCCGAGGAGGCCGCTGATGGAACGGCCAGGCACGATGGAGCGGAAGGAGCTGCACCAGTACAGTCGAACCCAGGACAGAAGAACATCCTTCAAGAATAAGAGACCCTTCGGCGACCAGCACGAAGAGCATTCGAGCGTACCCTCTCCCAGGATGCACAAGGACATCCCGCGACAGGCACGAAAAGCATGAGGGCCCCCCCCCGAGCCGACCTCGATCTTAGACCTCGGTCCGCCTCTAGGCGGGTTCACATGGTGATGCTGCCGATGCCCACCCTCGGGGACCCCCAAACGGGGTGGTGACCACACCGTGTGGCGAGTCGGTGGGGATTCGGGGTCGCCACGCGGTTTGGGGACTCGAGTCGTTCTCCGAGGATGCCTCGGGCGACTGGAGCCTCCGGGGTCCCAGAACCGTGCGGTGAGGTCTCTTGGGGCTCCGAGGTCACCGCACGGTCTGTCACCGCACAATCTTGGGATCCCCAACTCCTACTCCTCCGCCTCCTCCTCCTCCTCCTCCTCTTCCTTCACCTCCTCCTCCTCCTCCTCCTCCTCCTCCTCCTCCGGGGCCCTGGAGGAGGTGGCGCGTGCCGCGGGCGGGCGGCGGCGGCTGCAGCGGGCGCCGAGGCGCGCCGGCGGGGCGCGTGGCTCGATCGCGTCGGCGGCAGACGGCGCTCTGCCTGCTGGGCTTGGCGGAGCTGCGGGAGGGCCTGCTGGGTCACCGCGGAGACCTGCCATCGCTCGGGCGTCCGCTCCCCAAGGCCTCTGTCGGTGCTGCGCGGGGCTCCGCTTGCCCCCGTGGATCCGGGAGGCTCCTCGGTGATCCGGGAGAGGCTCCTCGACGGCCCTCGCGCAACGCCCCCCCCAAAACACGCGTCCGAGCGCCGCCGAGTTGTAGAAGGCGGCGCTCAGCTCGTCGGGCTGACGGAGGGGGAAGGGGTCGGAAAGATGCAGGGGCCCACGCGGAGGAGGATGAGGAGGAGGAGGAAGAGGAGGAGCAGGAGGAGGAGGAGGAAGAGGACCCGTGTACAAGAGTCATCAACGATGCTGGAATTAACCCTCCGTCCAAGCTCCCTCTTCACAGGCCCCTACAACGGTTCATTTCCATTGAGGGAACTGCCTCGTTGGAAGACAACCGTTTGAAAATCCGAAAGCATGCCAAAACATTGTTCACGGGATTTTAACGCCACGTATCAACCTGACTGCTACGTCTTTTGACGATCCAGAATCGTGCCATAACGCCGTGTTTGGGACTTCAACACCGTGAATCAACATAACTGTTGCACCCGCATAATCCGGAATCCTTCCCAAACACCATTTCTGGTACTCTGATCATTGGAATCCGTGGAACTCTTGTAGGTGTTGAAAACACATGTGCGCGGTGCTAAGGCGAGAGCCACATTGAGAAAACGATCCGCCCTCAATCCGTGAAGCTCTTGCAACTTTTGAAGTGAATGTGCGCGGCGCTAAGGCGAGAACCACATTTTGAAAACGATCCGCCCTCAATCCGTGAAGCTCTGGCAACTTTTGAAAACGAATGCGCGCGGCGCTCAAGCCAGAGCCACATTTTGAAAACCACGCGCCCTCAATCCGTGAAACTTTTCCACATGTTTAAAAAGAATGTGCGCGGCGCTCAGGCGAGAACCACATTTTCAAAACCACCCCCCGCCTTCAATCCGTGAAATCCTTGCAAATGTTGTAGACGAATGTGCGCGGCGCTCAGGCGAGAACCACATGTTCAAAACCACCCGCCCTCGATTCGCGAAAATCTTGCAAATGTTGAAAACGAATGTGCGCGGCGCTCAGGCGAAATCCACAGATTGGAAACCACCCGCCCTCCATCTTTTAAACTGCTGTCACTTAAAGGTTCAGAGTCATAGTGGTGAGGAAGTCTCAGGCAAAACGACCGGCACGCCCGAAAAACTGGCCTCGGGGTGCGACAAGGAGAAATTACCTATAAGGAGAAGGAATGGAGACGAGGGAGGAGGAAGAAGAAGAAGAGCAACGCCGAGAACGGCGGTCCTGCCACCTGGCGTACGGGGGGCCGCGGCGGCCCCGCTCAGGGACTCCCCGTACAGCTGCAGCAGCTCCCCGAAGTAGATGAGCCGCCGCACGAAGTCCCTGTGCCGCAGCTGCGGCTGTCTGCCCACGCTGAGTGCCATCCCACGGCGCCAGATAACGAAGGAGGAAGAGGAAGAGGAGGAGGAGGAGGAGGAGGAGGAGGAGGGGCCCGGGACACCGTGGAGAAGGCCCGCGGAGGAGGGCCCCGGGCCGCGGCGCAGCGGCCGCCCCCGCGGGCCGCGGGGTGGTGCCAATGGTGTGGGTCGGGCGGCGCAACAGCGCTGCCCGATAGGCCACCGAGGGCCCGAGCGTCCACGGGGCGCCGCGCCACTCGCGTGCTCCGCCTCGGTGGCCCTCCTACTCCTCCGCCTCCTCCTCCTCCTCCTCCTCCTCCACCTCCTCCTCCTCCTTCACCTCCTCCTCCTCCTCCTCCTCCTCCTCCTCCTCCTTCACCTCCTCCTCCTCCCCCTCCGTACACCTCCTCCTCCTCCCCCCATTCCTCCTCCTCCTCCTCCACCGCCTCTCGGCGAACGCCCGCAGTCGCACCCACGGACGGCGCGCTGGGCACGCTGCTGCGTCCCGATGGCACGGAGGCTGCCGCACGGCCGCCGCCTGCGACGGGCGCCCGACAGGAGCCTCCATCGGTGGCAGTGCCGCAAATTCTAGTTACAATGGGTGGACGCGGGAGAACGCGATAGCAGCAGAAGGGAGAGGATGAATGAGAGGGAGAAGCGAGGGAGGAGGAGGAGGAGGAGGAGGAGGAGGAGGAGGAGGAGGACGACGAGGATCGGGAGAGCAGGAGCAACAGCAACAGCAGCAGCAGGACGAAGAGGGGCGACGACGACAACAGCAACGACAACCACGAAAACGACGACCCGGCGGCGACGACCGCGGCGGCGAGGACGAAGCAACGACTGGGACGGCGAGGCGACACCGGTGAGAACGGCGACTGCGACGGCGACGAGCGACGACGGCCACGAGCAACGGACGACGAACGGCGACGACGAGGCGACTCTGCCAGCAGCAGCGACGCGCGGCACCAGGGGCCGCCCGGCCCGCGCGCGGCGGCCGCGGGCGACACCGGGCCGCCCGCGGCCGCGGCGGGGCCCTCGCCGCGGAGGGCGCCAAGCAGCCACAGCGCCTGGTCCCAGTGGCCCGCCTGGGCGGCGGCGGCCAGGGCCAGCGGCGTCGACGTCGACTAGGGGAACAAAAAGTGACATAAATCATAAAAACTCGGAGGTCCGCGCGGATTTCTCGGATCGGCGCTGGGGCCCCCCGGCGGCGCCTCGGGCGCCGCCCCTGGCGCGCTCCGCGCGCCAGGGAGGGGGGTCCAGCGCCGATCCGAGAAATCCGCGCGGACCTCCGAGTTTTTATGATTTATGCCACTTTTTGTTCCCCTCGAAGGTGGGGGGGAGGGGATGGGGAGGAGGCCTCCCCCTGCCTCCCTCTCCCCCGCCTTCCCGCCCCTCCCCTTCCCCTGCACCCCTCCTCCCCCCCTCTCCTCTCCCCGCCCCCTCCTCCTCCATGCCTTTTCCTCACCCCGTCGCATCCCGAAGCCAGTCGGAAAGGCGGCACGGGGGGTTCACCTGAAATGTCATCACCACCTCTACTCCTGAAACATAAAATTTCGAACGGTCTCACGGATGGATGGCGGGTCGACTTCAACATGTGGTTCGCGTTTTAGCGCCGCGCACAAATTTTCTAAAATGTTGTGAGAACTTCCTACGGATTGAAGATCAGTTGTTATCAAACTGTGGCTCCCGCCTTAGCGTTGCGCACAATCGTCTTAAACAATTGCAAGGTGTTCACGGATGGAGGGCGGGTCGTATTCAAAATGTGGCTCGCCTTGGAGTCGCACACGCTCGGTTTCCGAATGTGCAAAAGCTTCACGGATTGAGGGCGGCTCCTTTTTAACATACGGTTGTCGAGAGGGAGTTCTTCGACGCGGCCAAAAAGATGAGCCCAGAGGAGGTATTCGATGTGCTCCCAATGTCTTTCCCGATGACGCACAAGATCGAACGAAGGCTGCGACCTCATCGCGAGGTACCCAGTAGACCAATGGGAGAGGCACGGGAAGAAGGCCTGTACAGTGACAGTGCAGAGCTGGTGCGAACTAGCAAGGAAGATCACGAGGAACGACGAGGAGAACCTGCACAGAATAATGGAAGTCGCCATTCGTGAGCTGAAGAACGAGGACAACATGGACCCAGAGGAAGTGAAGAGGCTGACGGAGCGCCAGAAGCTCAAGGACAGCACCCAAGCCATGCTGCATGGTACCGAGATCTTCGCGGAGAAGTTCGGCTACCCCAAGTCGGAGGAGACAACGACGGCCAGCTGAAGCGGCCACCAGTGAGTGCACCCACTGGAGCCTGCAGATTGCCAAGAGAAAGCATTAACGAGGTTTCTCGGAGTGCTGATCTAGGCAAGTTGTGAGCTGGCCGTGCCGACAAGCAGCCAAGGGAAGCATTAACAATGTTTCTCGGAGTGCTGCTCAAGGCAGACTACGCGGGCACAACAGTACGCCTGCACCGTCATCGCAATTGGAAGTATGCTTTGGAGCACCTTCAGGTACACATCTGCAGGGTGGGAAGAAGAGTGATCATCGTGATGCCCACCTGGGTGCTCCTCATTGGCCCTACCTATGACGGTGACTTCCAGTATGCTCTACCTCACATACCCCGAGGGGGAAATGTTCTCCTTCACAGAAGAGGGTACAGAGACATCACATGGAACATCTCTCGGAACGACCGAGAAGTGAGCTGAATGGAAAAGGGGAGCACGGAATTCACAGTGTCGAAGTGGCAGCAGTCCACCCAGCAACAGCTTTGGGTCTCGGGCATTCCGTCTCTCCCCTCTCTCCTCCTTTTGAGGTCGTGTCGTCGTCTCTTCAGACCCCCTTGGCTTGGGCGCCCTGCTAAGCCTGCGCGTCCCCCTCCCCAAGGGCACGCGGAAGGGCCAGCATCTGCTCCCCCCGCACTGACCCGATGGGACTCGCGATGTAGGGTTGCGAGCCTCGCTCACGGGGCCACCTCGGAGCTCGGACCTTGAGCTTCGGGGCATGCCCCCTGCCGGCCCCAACCAAGCGCAGGGGATTCTGGCAAAAGCGCGTAGATCACCCGAGCAGGTGCTCTGACGTTACCCCCTCATGCGGATGTCCTGTCCTGTCCTGCCCTCCTTCTCCTCCTCCTCCTCCTCCTCCTCCCCCTCCTGGCAGTCGTCGACGTCTTTCGGGGTCGGCGGCACCAGCCGTCAGGCCTTCGCAACTTCATTATGTTGCTCTCACCTTCGCGCTTGTAGGGGGCCACATGCGAACCCTACCCCTACCTCCCACGATTTCTGAGGGGGAGGGGGGGGTTCACTTCGTCTGGGAGCTCCCGAGCGAAGTGAACCCCACCCTCCCCCTCAGAAATCGTGGGGGGTAGGGGTAGGGTTCGCATGTGGCCCCCTAGCTTGGCGCCGCGCGCGCGCGCCCGTGAAGTTCGCAGCGGCTCCACGGAGGAAAGGGGGGGGCAATGTTTTCAAACCGTGGCCCCCGCCGTGGCGCGGGGCGCACACGCGTCCGCAAGTGTTACCCCACAGGTGCACGGCCGGAGGGCGGCTCCTTCTGCAAGATGCTCTTTGTTCCTCCAGACACGATGTATTTCAGAACGTGCTGTGAGTCACCCTGATGACTTTCGGCGCACATTCCGAGATCCCTAGGGACACGCGCTCCTTCTGCAAGATGTGGCTCTTGTTTGGTACTTGTTCTGATGCGGGTGCTGGTCTGAAAATTGGGCACCCGCTGCACGGGTGGTAGACGGCATCGTTTTTTTTATAAAGGCGTGTCCTCTCGCTTGGAAGGTTACCACGTTCAAGTCCAGAAGCTCTTAGGTGCACGGGTAGAGCAGGTTCCTTCTCAGAACAGTTCTCTCGCTGGAGTCCTCCTTGGATGTGCGGATCCTACCTCGTCGCACCCCTCGAAGCGGGAAGGATGGGCGGGGGAATCCTTTGCAAAACAGGATCCTCGCCTGAATGGCAGGCCCATCGGGGATTCGTCCCTCACAGGGCGCCTCTGGCATCGAGAGGAATGCTGGTACGCATGGACTTGCGGGGGGGGGGGGGCACTGGGGACAGGAGGGAGTAGCGCAGCATCGTTGGTGCATCTTGGGCTTACTATGGTCCTCCTCCTGCTCCACGTCCTCGTCCTTGTCCTCCTCCTCCTCCTCCTCCTCCTCCTCCTCCTCCTCCTCCTCCCCCCTCCCCCTCCCCCTCCTCCTCCTCCTCCTCCTCCTCCTCCTCCTCCTCCTCCACCTCCTCTCCTCCTCCCTCTCTTCCTGCCACTGCCTGCTGTCACTCCTCCACACTCGCCTCCACTAGACGCTGACGCTGTGGACGGTTCTGCCGCCTCCACTTCCTCCCCGTCCTCGACGCGTGGGCCGGCAGATGGAAGAGATAAGAGAGGCGGATGAGGGGAAGGAGGGAGGGCGACGAGAGAGAGGAGGTGAATGGGAGCACGAGGGAGCACGAGGAGTACAAGGAGGATAAAGAGGAGAAGACGGAGGAGCAGCAGCCTGCTCGCAGGCCCTCGCAGCAGCGCTGCAGCTGACGAGCGTTGGCTCCACCGACGACCGCCACAGCTCGCCGAACAGCCCCAGCGTCAGCTGCCACTGCAGGCCCGCCTCGCACGCGGCCATCGCCGTGCCGAGGCTGACAGGCCCCGCGTCGAACGACGCGTGCCTGTGAAGGGGCCCTGGGACACACAAATAAATACACACAAGTAACAGGATTCCCCATAGTTTCCCATACTTTCTGGGTTTTTGTCTTCCCCCCCACTTCCCATATTTTCCGATATTTTCCTGGGAGTCGACGATTCATTGTCTGCGTGTTTCTTTCCATCCTGTGCCTGCCCCTCCCCCGTCCAGGGGGGGTCAAACGAGCTCCCCGCCGATGGGGCTGCGCCCAGCGTTTGGTCTTCAGGCCAGACAACCTCTGACCTCCCCCCACCTCTGCTTCGCCTGTGTGGGCGTCCGATCCTCCGCCGCCTCCTCTGCCTCATCCTCCTCTCCTCCTCCTCCTCCTCCTCCGCCTCCTCCTCCTCCTCTTCCCTCCCCCTCCTCCTCTTCCTCCCCCTCCTCCTCCTCCTCCTCCTCCTGCCCTCCTCCGCCTGACACGCCGAAGCACTGATGGCAATGGTGTTCGTCGAATGCTGCCGCTTACCCCCGAGAGGCCTGGCCGGTCCCCGTCTGGGGGGGGGAGGACAGCATAGAAAATGTATGGACCGATGTCCAGCAGGTCAGAGGGGAGGAAGAAGAGGAGGAGCATCACATCCACAGAATCGTGACCTCGGGAGGAAAGGAAGAGGAGGTAGGGGTTGCTGCAGCGAGACTGTGGCGCCGCGGCCGTGAAAATGTGGGGTGGCGGCGACGACGACGACGACGGCGACGGCGACGGCGACGGCGCCGGCGACAACGACGACTGCGACGACGACGACGACGATGACGCATCGCGGATACCCCATGGGGGCAAATTGGAGGGGGCACTGCGCACGCCTGCTTGAGTCGACGGCAAAGACGACGAAGACGAAGACGACGACGACGACGACGGCGACGACGATGACGACGACGACAAGACAAGACAAGACAAGAGCCCATGGAGTCCTCTGAAGTTAGTCCCGCACGTGAAACTACAGAACTCTGGGCAGGCAGCTACACCGCCAACTGCTGAAAGTTCCGCAGCGCAGAGACAGCCACTCTCTGCTCAGGGCAGCACTGGCCCTGGCTGTGGGTCCCCCCAAGGCACGCAGCCTCGGATTGGAATCCCAGCTCTTAGGCGCCAGGTCGTCCATCTCTCCCCGGCCCCGACCTCCCCCGACTCCCGCCCCGACCTCTTCCTCTATATGGATTCTGCCGCGGAAGCATCTTAATTGGTATGGAGGGCGAATCAGCAGCGTAACCCTGCGCGACGGTGCTAGTCGCATCACTGATCATGCTTTGTGAAATCACCCCTCTCTCAAGCAAACTGGCGAGCCGTTCGCTCTGCGCGAGCGATCTAAGCAAGGTGTCTCAAAAGAACGGCTTACTGTGGCGCTACTGCTGGCATCAACGCTCAGGATGCTCCGTCCAGCATGCGCGACACCTCGCGTTCTTGCGGGCCCCACGGCTGCGGGCCGCCCACGTACTCCCCGCCCTCTGCTTCGATAGCCACCGGCAAGGTCTCGAAAAGCCCCACTCCCACCGTGTTGTGTCGATCTCTGTTCAGGTACAGCGTCGCCATCTGATCCGCCTGCTCTTTCTTCTTCTGCTCGCGGCAGTGCTTCACAGTGCGACTGAGGTGCTGCATCGAAAGCTCGCTCACCACATTGTTGAACCGCTCCACGGTGTCGCCCACCGCCGAGGCCACGCCCTTCTCGAGCGAGCCCTTCTCCTTCGCCGCGCTGTGCACGATCAGCGCCATGAAGACGTGGAGGTGAGGAGCCCCGCGACCACGGAAGTCTGGAGTCGTTCCCGACTCGGCTTCCTTCTGCATCTCCTTGCTGCGCGCGCCATCGCCTGCACGACTCCTGCCGCTACTGGGACGAACCACTTGCTGAAGACGCAGGCGCCGAGGTCTGCCTCTTCGCGTGCCGTGATCAGCAACAGTTTGGCGCACGCCCCCTGTAAGCCCTTGTGCCCCGTGCGCGTTTCCTTGGCCGCGCCGCCGCCCTTCTTGCCGCCGCCCCCCGTGCCCTTGCCCTCCCCCTCGTCGGCCTGGCGTTTCGCCGCCGCCTGGCTGTGCCAATAGGGGAGCTGCAGCGCGCTGCCCGACATCACCTCCTGCGGTCGCCTGCTCTCGCACTCGCCGAACGGAAATCTTCCAGGGGAGATGTTCTCGGAGGTGCGCGCGCAACTCCGAAAGTCTTGCGCCGAAGAATCGCAACGCGGATAATCTAAACAGCCAAGAGGAGCTTGTTTTTGTTATTGGGGGGGGGGGGGGGGTAACGCCCGTTACGGGGGGGGGAGGGGGGTCCGGCCCCAAGCTGGGGGTAACGGTAACGCGCGGCGGGGCCCTCGCACGGGCCCTGGTACTTATTACCAGCACAACTGTCGGCACGGTAGGCTTCGTCGTCGTCGTCGTCGTCGCCGCTGTCGTCGTCGTCGAAGCCGACCGTGCCTGTGCACACTGCACAGGCTCTGTACACCGCGATGCCTTTGTACACCAAAACTGCGGCAAGCATGGTATGTGTGTGCACCACGGCGACTAAGCACATCATGACAGGCGGGTGCACCGCAGCGCCCTTGTACATCTCACTGTTGGTGCACACCACGGCGCCCGCGTGCACCACAGCTGCTGTTTCAACGCCCCGTGTTTGCACCAGAATGCCAGCGTACACCGCAAATCTTGTGTGCACCTGTAAGGTACCGGCGGAACGAAAGTCCAGAAGATCGCTCGGGGCCCAACCGTGGCCTTTTCATTATGTGAGCTGCTTGTGGATCTTAGTTTTTCTGGTTCAAAAAGCGCTCGGACCTGTTGAGCCCACAGCGCCTGTGTACTCCACTGTGACTGCGTACATCATGGGAGTGTGAACCGTGGCGCCTGTGTATACCAGATGGCACGTGTGCACCACAAAGCTTGTGTACATTTGTTTGTGCGGAGTGTAAACCACGCGCCGTGGGGTCGCGCGGGGCGGCGGCAGCCTAGGGAATACAGGAAGCAGGAACTCCCTGCACAGGCACAAGGCCCTTGAGACATGGGTCGACGGCTGGAGCGTGCACGCGGGTGCGTCGTCGTCGTCGCCGTCAGCGACGGCGACCAGGGAGGCGGCGGCGGCGGCGGCGGCGACACGGGCGGCGGCGACGGCGACCACGACGACGACGACGACGACGGCGGCGGCGACGGCGACGACGCCGACGGCGGCAAGCGGCGGCGGCGGCGGTGAAGGTGACCGCCGCCGCCGTCACCGCCGTCGTCTTCGCCGCCAATGCCGCCGTCGCCGTCGCCGCCGCCGCTGCCGTGTCCGCAGCCAGTTGCCGAAAGCTTCAGCAGCGCTTGGGGCCCACTTGCTGGATACACATGCGGGGGGCTGGCGTGACCAGCCGCGCCAGGTAGGAGGGCCGAGCGCTGGAAGGACATGCGGCCACATCCGCGTGCAGGTTTCGCCCAGTCCAGCCCCTTTGCACCAGCACAGGGAGAATGGAGGGAGGACAGTGGTAGTAGTCATAATAATATTGCGAGAGTGCGCCGGCTGGTTGCGCCATGGCTTGCCCGATGCGTTACACCACACGTTGTGATTGCGTACAATTACCTGCGCCATAGGTTGAGCCGCAAGGTGCGCCATAGGATGCGCCCCCAGGTCGTGCCATAGCTTGCGCCATAGGTTGCGCACCCACGGCGCCCCACACATCGCGCCTTACGTTGCGCCCTAGGTTGCGCCCTCAGGGCGTGCCATAGGTTGCGTCGACGGTTGCGCCACAGGTTGCGCCAAAGGCGGGGCCAATTTGTGGCGCTGCGTTTCAACGGAACTCCTGGTGCGCGCACTGTTCGGGGAAACGCCGTGCTGGCAGGCGGGCGTCGGGACTCCGGGTGCAGCCCGCAGGATAATGACAACGGACGCGGCAGGGATGACGACGACCATTCTGTGGCACCTGTGGCGCGCCACACCGCCGGAGGGAATGCAGGAGAGGAAGTGGAGGGTACGTGAAAGGAGGATCGGAGAAGGATGATCGGAGGAGGACGCTCGGAGGGACCACAGGAAGATGATCCCCCTCCTCCTCCGATCCCCCTCCGATCCTCCATCCTCCTCCTCCTCCTCCTCCTCCTCTTCTGCCCCCTCCTCCTCCTCATGCCCCTCCTCCGATCCCCCATCACCTCCTCCTCCGATCCTGTTCCAACCCTCCTCGTCCTCCTCGTCCTCCTCATCCTTCTCCTCCTCGTCCTCCCTCTGCCTCGCTCCCCCATCCCCCCAAGAGGTGAGAGGAGGTGGAGGGCACGAGCGCTGGAGGGAACGCAGAAGCAAGGCAAAGGAGGCGGAGGGGCCAGGCCGGAACCCGTTGAAAGGTTCGCGCCGAAGGATGCGAACCTCGAACCTCGAGGATCGAGGCATCCTGGCCCTCGAGGGCCTTCGTCGTCGCCGCGGCTGGACGCGGCTCGGGGAACTGCTGCGTCTGAGCCCCAGTCGGGCCCCGTGGACCCAGTTTGAGTTTGCGCCGGGGTTCGAACCTCGAACCTCGAACCTCGAACCTGATCACACATGTGAGCGTCACAGCATGCCTGCCTGGACAGAGGAGGGGTCCGCACCCCCGTCCCCGTACGCCCGTTACCGTTGCGGGGGGGGGGGGGGGCGTAACCGGCGTTACAGGTCCGAGCAATAAAAAGACAAGCTCGAGGCAATTCGGGAACCAGGGCAGGCGGGCCATTCGTGAAACAGTGTTTCCGCTTGAGAGATCCCTGCAAATGTCGACATGCATTCTCGCGGGTCGAAAAACATCGAGAACGGCAAATGCAAGCAGTAGTCCTCGTTAAATACGAGGCGAGTTTTCGAACAAAATGGGCGAAACGTAACTGATTCAGGAGGCCTTCCTTCGTAGGGCAATTACATCCACATGAGACCCCCCCCAGAACTCACCCAACACTCAAAGCCCCCCACCACCTTGATCTGGGGGGCAGGAGCGGAGGGAGGAGGAGCGCCCGCAGCAGCAGAAGCAAGCGCGGGAGAGGGAAGAAGGGGGGGGCCCAGACCAAGGGGG